CTTTACGGACATTAAATCTCGTTGTTCGATTTATTTTTTGAATGTTACGAACGAGGGAGCTCAATAGATTTACTAAAAAACATGTTATGGGATTATATGAAGTATATTTCAATGGAATGGACAGACAGAAAAGGATCGTCTTTTATTCTTGCGTTATTTAATGTACTGAGATGAATGAAAATAAGGCTTCGCAGGGTACCAAGCATTCCATTTGATAGTTTTCTACAAGCTCATTCATCAGCTGCAAAATTATTTGAAAAGAAAAAGCTGCGCTCATTGACACAATCACGGCAATAGGAAACGAATTAGTAAAATCTATCAAGAGGCCGAAACCAACGGGTAGGAAATTTATATTGTTACAGGACATCATCGTTGCCCTAAAAAAAAGAGGTGAACTAAATTTTCATAATCTATAATATTGGATGGGCGCGGTTGATCTTTTCTATGTATAGTGTATACTTTATGAGCAACAATCAAAAAACACGGCAAACAATGATGTTCACAGTCTTTGTTAGGCATGTCCTTTGACCGGTTTGTTTCTCTTTCAAAATGTTTTGAAAATTTTGGAGATGCTACATATTTGGGCGGATGGACAAATGGACAAACAAACAGACGGACGAATGCTTGGTTACATTCCGAATTTGAAGCTGACCAAGATTTTATATACTTTATGCGATTTTGGTAACCTGCTTCTGTGCATTGCAAAGGTATTGAAAAAAAAAAGAAGTAAACTTTCATTCACATTATCTCCTGTACTTTATCAGCAATGAGTAATGAATAAAAAACGAATTTTTTATTACTCTTGAAAAACAGAAGTGTTCTCAGTTTACGTAGTATTGTGCATTTTCAATATCGACCTCTGTGAAAAAGGTTCCATTGTTTCTGGCAAATTTGAAGCCCCGACCAGGCGGACAGATGTACATTTTGAAATACCTGCAGACCCTTTGACCCTGATCAAGAGTACGCATACTTTGCATTTCCGGACGTTACAAACGTTTTGACAAAATGCATTATTTTATTCATTATTTAAATAATTAATCAAAATATTCCTTTTCCGCTTTTATCGTATAGTATACGACTTTCTTTCAAAGTGATCATGTCGATCCCGCGCCGCGATACAAGCAAGTGCACAATACGTGTAGCATTAATAATACCTTTCTAATCCTTTCTGAAACGATGTAAAACATTAACAGTCAATTAAGCTAAGCTAAGTATTGCCTTTGGATTTTGGATATGAACAAAAAGAATGTTAGTGTTTTTGATGTACTATACAGGTGCATACATGTTCATTAACATGTTCATAATGGTATATTTTCGTCTTCAAATATCGTTGCTTTACAAACAATTAACGATAGTAACATTATTTTATAATATGTTTGTTTAATTCTCTTGCTCATAATCAGCATTATTTGCGGTATAAGGCTGGTATTAAGCTTGGACGGCCGCGTGCAACACCTATAATCAATTCTTACTTGCTGGGATCAATTTTTGCTTCGATCTATGCGCATTTGTCTCTCTGGCTGAGCATTTGTCCGTCTGTCGGTTTTATTATCTTGTTTTCACTTTACAGGCAGCATTTTAAAAATATTTGGGGGAAATTTAGTACACGGGCGGGTTTTGGCTCAAGGACAAACGCTTTTAAAAATGATTCGGATCGTATTATTGTCTCGACCACTTTTCATATAACGCCTTCTTTTGAAAAGTCGTCAAATCAATAACCACTGTCTTAAGCGAAGCGGTGTACGATATTCGATGGTGGACAGTTTTCCACTATAATTGTTTTCACTTGTTTCTGTTTATTCATTTATTTGCAATAGCACTGTCGGCGTATTATTGTTTACGCTAAAAATAGCCAAGAACCATGAATATCTGGTCTTTAATCACATATTATGACGACGTGCTGCATGATTTATTAGAAAGTAGGATGGATAGAAAATTAAGGCATTTATACAGTGAGTAGCAAGAATATGAGCAATGGTTTCGATTTGCAAAACAAATCATTTCCAAAACAATATAATAAGTTCGACTAATTAAAATGGAAAATGAAAATATATAAAAGTAAATGAATTATATAAAACAAAGTATAAAATACGTGAACAACGAAAATAATAATATGTCAAGGATATTTTTCAATAAAAAAGACATAATCAAATTCTAAACCATTGTTATAACAGTAAATAGTTGGATCATTAGTTGCTGTTGTTTATAATATCTATGAAATATATGCTCAAAAATTTCGTATATAGCTGAGGTAGCGGACGTAACAAGATTCAAGTACAAGTTGAAGTCAACGTCTTTGTTCTTTCTTACTGTTGCTGTGGTTTTCGTTCATCATACACTTCGTTTCCTTTTTTTGTTTGGCTTTTTTTTTTTGAGACAATCCTTAACTCCTGTTTTGTAACATATACGTATACAAATACGCTCATATACAAAGACACATGTATCTACATGTATATTACATAAATGAATTTGTAAATGATATACGAGAGCTTTGCCGAAAAGACCGAGACCAGAACACCCCAACAACAAATGCTTACTTTTATTTTATTGCTTATGAATATACGCTCCTCTATACGATCTATTTAAGAGTCTTTTTATTATTTGTTGTTGTAGTATTTTGTGGTTGGTTTCTAAGAGTTGAAGGGTTTATTTTCGCCCACCAATGCAGAATGTAAGCATGCTCAACTTGTAATGTTATTTGTAACACGAACGAGTTCGCAATTGGGATAAACGGCTAAGCGAGTTCTAAAATGTTTCGTCTAGCTATACAGTTTTCTAGAAAATGAAAATTCGGATGGAAAGCGAGGTTGTATTTTATTTGAATTTAATATCAATAATAATAGTTTTGCGACAGGTTAACGAAATAAAACGAACTTGGCGACGATCAATTAAAACTGCTCTTTGAACTAGGGACCATATGAATTAGGATGCCGACGCTTCTTTCACGCTTTCAATTCCGCAATATATACATAAAAGATGTCATATTTGCACCTTTTCACGTTGAAGGGTAACTAAGACTCGGCGAATGGCAAGACGAACATTTGACTGCGAGTCAAATGGAAGCAATAATCTATAAAGGCGTACCTCGCATAACATGGCATCTGTCCAACACGGTTTCGCTACAACACACCGTATTAAACACCGTATAACACGGTTTTCATTTAACGCGATTTCAAAAAACTGATCGACTTTTTTTTCAATTGCTTTTCGCTTTCATTTTTATTTTATCAACATTGAAAAAAAGATAATAGATTAGCTGCGGTTTTTGATGAGAATTCATTTGGGATCGTCATCATTATTTTATGAATATATTTTTGATGTTTATTTTTTTACTCATCGTAATAATAAATTTCAACTCTTTTTATTTTTATTTTTATTTTTTTTTCTTTTATTAAGCATAACTTGCTTTGAACTTACTGTTTCGTGTATGATCTATGTTTGGAGCGAAATTTAATCTACCATCTAACGAACAAAGTTAAGACTTTGATTTCGATACAACAAGGGTACATATTGTTTCGATTAATATGATTTTAAAGTTTTGCATAATACGGCTTCGATATAATATATAAAACAGATTTTGATAAAACACGATACGCGTTGCCTTGATTTATTCCATGTCCATGTCTTTGTTATTATTATAATTAATTTAGTTAGAGAATTAAATTCGAGCACCAAAATCTTAAAGCACTAGCATCTAAGGCAGATGCGGGCAACTTTTATTGATTACCGGGCCAATTGTAATCTTCATATCATCAATTTTCTTTGTGTTTTTAAATCGCTCAGCAAGAACAAAAAAAAAAAAAAAAAACAAACAGAGTTTATATTTCATAGGTGCACAGCAGAGCCGGTCGTGACGGCAGGTACAATATGTTTGCAGCATTGCAGCATTGTTATGTGCGCGCAAATTGAAGTATTCGAATTTTCATACGGAGCACTATTATTGAAAACTCCACCGCACTTGAAATTTGAAGGCACGAACTCATTGAATCGTTAGTCGAGATCCTTTATCTACTCGGCAACTCGGGGCGGCTATATACTATATCTAAGTTCAATATGCATTATTGAATTGATTGTAATTTAGTTGAAACAAATAAGCAGAAAAGTTTCACATAACGGATCACCCATGTTATACGGGGGACATCTGTACTTGCTTTGCATTTTTTACTTTTGATTTTCAATACATTTTTTTTATATCTTGTGCTTGCCCTGATATTATTTGAACTTTGTTTAAAGCGTATTCTGCTTTCATGTATCTATGCACATATCGCATGTGCAATGATAAGGACTGCCTTGTATATGATTGGGTAGATGTGCGTGTGTATGTGCGTGTGCGTGTATACGGGCATACGTCTATTATTTAAAAGACAGTAAACTATAAATATTCAAATCATTTTTCTTAGATTTACCATAGATTTGCATATTTGTAAATATTTTCTTATATCATTTGTGTTTTCGTTTTCCTGCGCAGTAAAAGAATCTTTTTTTTTTGTTTTCACATTTATTCACTTTCTATACTGTCGACATACACATACACGACGACTGCATCTGCATCTGTGATATGTGTCATTTTGTAGGTGTGCTGTAAAATACTGAGTAATTATTTTACACATAAATTAATTTGACACATATGCACATAGCAAGTAGGAAAATGTATTCACTGAAATCCCGGTATATATATATATATATATATATAATATATACATAATATATGCTGGAAAACTTATTACTACTACAGTCAAACCTGTTTTTGTGCGGTTTTTTTTCTGCGGTCCCTATCTACCGCACAAAAGCAGGTTTGCCTGTATATATATAAATAAATAATATTTATATATATATATATATATATATATGTATAAAAAATATTCTTTATTTACATTTCACGGCATTAGTGTACAACGTAGTAATTAAAGAAAGGAAAAGAGCGAAAAATTCGAGGAATTCGCTTTGATTTCATTCGTTTTTGCTTACAGTTTTACTTGGATTAGAAATTCGAGACTTACCTCTGTGTCGATTTGTTTGTTTATCAAACATAAGCATTGCATCTTCGATCTGCAAAATGTTAAGAAAGAAATCACACTTAGTATCATTTCTCCCAAAATTTTATATCGATTATATAATTCATAAAATTCAAAGTAACAAGATATTTCTAGCGTCTTAGAAAACTTAAGATTAACGGATTAACATCGCTCTTCGTGAGGCTTGAAAATGATCTAATTGAGTTGATAGGTTAAAATAAATTTGCGCAAAAAAATATTTGCTTGACGTGGAATCGGATACCATTTAAGATGCGATCTTTGACAAGATCGCTAACAAATCAAGATACATTTGCGCCGATTTTATTTTTCGGCTTCCTATGGATTTGAGGAATCCTTGTAAAAAATAAGTTATAACGCGTCCGGGATGCCGTTCCCTTCACTGCGTGCACCTTTACTTCTCACAATCAAATTTTAAAGTATTCGAATATTCTATAGGACGTTTAATTGTTTTGTTTCGTGTAACACAATCGAACAAGAGCTTTGATGAAACGTTTTCGAAGCATATTCACTTTCATGATTAATTGAAATTTCAAGAGCAATGAATGTAAAGCAACAAGAGCCAATGCCAATATTGAAGGAGACTATGAAAGGACATCTATATGTTTTCCATCGCTATATCGTACGTGCGCGCAATTAAACCGCGCTGTGCCTTAATTTGGACGACTGACTGACGATTGACTTAGAAGAAGCAATAGAGAGATTTATAGTTGGCTTAATAGACAATTAAGTGAACAGACAATTAAATACATCCTAATCGATTTGTAAGCTTACATCGACTAGAGGGGGGAGGAGAATTCACGGCATACTTTTCAGAAAATTAACTTTGTTTTGCTGACTTAATTATCCCTTACGTAGTTAAGAACGATATTAAAAGATAACAGTGGGCGCGACCCACAATTTTGCAAAACATCGAGCAAAAAACTTCATCCTTTTCATTCGCGTTTTTTACTATATTTTTAAAACAACATTTTCAAGAGAAACCTCATAGGGTGATGTGAGAGAGGGAGAGGGTCGAGGGGGGGGGGGTAATTCGAAAAGGCCAATCTAGGTGTACACCACACGTTCAGCGGTAAGTGAATGATCAATATTGCAAAATGGCAAACATTACATTAAACGTATGATGCCCTGGATGACACTTCTGCGCTGCATAGGAGGATTGCGAAAAGGGGGTTGGTCTTTTTTTTTAATCCAATTTTACACCAGATGAATTATGAGTCGCAGATCCCTTTAAATTAAAGAAGTTTCGCGGGAATGGCTTCAGGGTTGCCACTTTTCAAAATAATTTGTTTTTCAATACTTAAATTTATGCCTGATAATCTCTTCGTATACTGTTCTTCTGTTATTTTTCTTTCCCTCCGAAAAGCTTTGTTAAAAGAAAACATTTTCTATTCTTTTTTTTTTTTTTGTTTTTGCAGCTATTGTAGAGTCCTCCCTCCGCTCCCTTTCGCGCTACCATCAAGAAAATTCTCAATGTAACTACTTTCAACATATCCATCCATCTTCGTCAAATCTTTATATTGAAATTATTGACGAACGTATTTTGTTCTTATTTTGTTAAAAATTCACGAATTTTTCTTAACAAGTTTGTGTGTGATCGGAATGAAATTCGTTCTAAAAGTGGATGCAGGCAACTTAAAAAAAAAAAATGAAGAACGAAAAATTGTGCCATTTTTTATTTACTATTCTTAAGGAAGTGTATATATATAAAGTAGCTTTTAAGGCCAATAGTGCTTATGCTTTTTTAAATAACTCACGACATATTTCACTTAACGTTCCTATTAAGTACATTTATATGCTTTAATAAACTCTGCTTTCGAGAAAAACGCTAGCAAAACAAGTAAAAATAATGCAGCCAAGTAAGATTGGTTATTAAATACCCTACATCATTTCATTTAACTGTATTTTTATTTTGCTCTCCTGATCACATATCAAACCCTGCACATTACTTTTGTGTAATGATGTAATGACATATTGATGTGTGACCCATATGTAAATTCACGTAATTCAAAATTTAGCGAACATAATATTTTCTTGTTGCAGTTTTTATTATTCCTTAACTATTCGTAGGTCTTTTTCTGATAAGTACGTTGACTTTTCATCGTAATCCTTGTATGGGCTGGGGTGTCAAAAAAAAAAAAAAAAAAAATCTATGTTGTTGAAATTTTGGTATCAAATAACTAGCACGGGTCGGGTATAATATCCAATGATGTTTTTAAATAAAGGATGTGACTTGAAACGTGATCATCTACTTTGATTTTTATACGCATCACCGAAGGATAAGGGGCGTGTTCGTTCATTGTCAAAACATTTGCGACGTCCAGAAGGAACTTGCAGAAATTCCAGAAAGTTTATATATTTATGATCAACATCGGATTCATTACAAGTTTATGCACACAAGTTGGTATTGAAAATGGGCTAAATCGGTCGAAGGACACGTCTTCAGTACCTGGTAAACTGGGAACCAATGTCTTTTTCAAGAGTAATAAAAAATTCGTTTTTTGCTCATTATTCATAGACTACAGCCGATAAATTTACAATAATTTGAACGTATATTCGATGGGTGGTACTGCGGTATCTGTATAAAAACTGACCACGCCTACCCAATATTATATTATATCAAAATTTGAGGTTTTTTTCAGAACTTTTATAATGCACAGCAGCAAGCTTCGAAAACCCCCTTAAAATATATACATTCTTGGCTAGGTTCAAATTTGAAATACTGATAAGCACGTTCGTCTATTCGTATGTCCATCTGTCTACCGGCCTAACTATGTAACTATGGGTATCTGTGGTAAGCATTCTTCCTTTTACGCGATATGCAGATATCATGTAGAAATTTACAAAACAAACTGAGAACGACCCAAGCCGATCAAACGAGACGCCTATGCATAAAAACTGTGAACGCCTTTGCTTTCCGTGTTTTTTTGCCTGTTACTCATAAAGCACATCACATACACCATAAAAATTTCCACTTTTATTCTGAAAATAGAAAAAGTGAACCGCGGTCACTCAATATTAGGGGTAAGAATATGGAAATTTAGTTCTGTTCCTTTTTTCTTAATTTTTTTGTAGAATATAAAAAATTCGTTTACGAATATAAATCAGTAAATTTATAACATAGCGTGAAAGTCTTTGTCCTTCTTTCTTTGAGTACATTTAATTAAGTAACCTTGACTCATCTAAAAATTGGTCTTTTTACGTGGGAGACACGGGGTTCTAATTTTGACGTTCTCAGTGTGATCAAATGGCTAGATGATCAAATAATTCAAGTCAACAACAAAAATGAAAAATTGAGAACAAGACATTTTTGGCATTATAAAGACTTAAAGCTCGTAGGTGCAGGTATTCGTAGCAGCAGATGTTACTCTAATCAAATTTTGTACATTTATTTATCATAAGATGAAATGGTAATTATCATGAATTTTGATTATGAAATTTCAAAAATTACATTTTTTTCTTATAACAGCACTTGCAAAATAGGCGTTATATGGGGAGTGGCCGTAAAAGTTGCTCAGCTCAATCTGATTTTACAAAGGTTCCTCGCCAAGCGAAAACACGACAAGAATACAGCTCAAAACGTCTCAAAAGTTATTCCGTACAGCTTGAACACAAAAATTCATAGACAGACATTCAATTCTATAGGCGATCGGTGGATTAATTTATATACCATACATTCGCATAAAGTTAATATGGCCTGTATCACAAGTGATGTAGAGTATAAATATTAAGATAAATAAACCTTTGGCGTAGATGTATATATATGTATAGGATTTAGAAATTTATATAGAAGATAGAGAGAGTGTCGCCCGTTTATACAGGCACACAACCATATGTTGACGCTCTAAACTTTTCCCATTAACGTTAAATAACTGATAATGATGGCTTTTGCGCGACACTCTCATGATGACTTTAGTTATAAACGTAGACATCCATACATAACTTTCTGTAGATGAAACTCAGTGTGTTTGTGTATTTGTATGCGCCAGTGTAATAAGTTCCATATAGATATATATTTATATATATATATGTGGGTGTGTGTATGTGTTTGTGTTTCTGTGATATCGATGGAAAAGTTTTATATATATATTTATATATATATATATATATATATATACATGTATATGTATAGATTGTAGGAAAAAGTTTTATTTCAAAGTTGTTTTTTGAAATGTGTCCACATTATTAATTGATGATAAATTGAATGACTAAGATTAAGGTGAAGAGTGTGGATTTAAAATACCGCACATATATACGCACATATGTACACGAGAGAGAGAGAGAGAGAGAGAGAGACAGTGAGATAGATACCTCCTAACATCCGTAGACATGGCCATATAAATAAATCAGATAATTAATATTAATTTATCATTAAGAGCAGCAGCAGCGTCAGCAACATTAACAATGAAACAAAACTAGAGATGATATTGTGAATTGCCGAACTGGCGATAATCTTATCTGAAGCGTATGGTGCGTACGCGTCTCTTTCAAATTCCTTATGCCAGCAGATAATTGGGGCGGAAAGTTGTTGTCATATGTTTTCCTGTTTTTATATTTTGTCTCCGTTTGGAAATTCGTAAACGAATATTATTCGTATACTCTCGCTAGTGACTGTATATTTATAAAACGGAAATATATTATCTTCGCGATATGTATAGTGAAGTGCTTAAAAGAGAGAAACAGCTTAAGAATTTCATGTCCTCTAAATAATGCAAGTGCTTAAATTCCTTTACCGAAATATCTATATATAATTTAATATAATTATATAATATAATTTTTCCCTAACTTTATTTATTTATTTATTTATATGTTTTTATATAGTGGACTCTTAAAAATAACTCTCATCTCAAATATAACGCATAATATATAAAGAAAAAATGTAAAAAATATATACAAATGTAGTGTAGAGTTGAGTTAGGTGTAAATTACTAAGCTGATGTCGACATCCAAATGCTTCGCAATCGATAGGAGTGAACGTATTTAGTTTAATTTATGAACCATATGAACCTTTAAAAA